ATCCTACACACTGTGCCTTTAAACAATTATAAAATACGGCGATAAATATGAATCTAATAATATCTAAAAACTTAACGTGGAAACACAGTGGTACAAATGATGGGTTTGTTTTTTAAACAATAAATTAAATATATATATATTTTTATTGTAGGCAATGTTCACTTCATTGGTTGATTTTATGGAGGCCATTTTTTCTGTATAACCCAAAACAGAATTGACTTTTTTAATATTGCTTTTTTAATTACGTACCATTGTGAAAACAGAGGTGTTTGGTCTCGTTTGGTCCTGAAAGAAAAAAAGAGTACAGATGCTCGGGAACTTTAAAAGCAGGATCAGGTTACCTGGAGAAGCAGGTCTGACGCGGGCTTGATCTTCTGCTGGAACAAAACACTCAGCGCCCGATTCTGCTGCTCCAGGTCGAAGACTCGTGTTCGCAGCTTCAGACATTCCTCTCTTAAATCCTGATGCAGAAGCAACGGAAAATGATGCACAAAATTAGTATTTTATTCTACAAGAATGAACAAGGTTGCGCTGAAATTAAAAGCAAATTGAACTTTATTGAAATAGGAAACCAACCTTTTGCGTCAGAAGTGCCTGCACGACTTGATTGGCAACCTTAAAAAGATAAGAAGACCAAATGAGTGAAAATAAGCTCAAACTAATATTTTCCCTTTGGCTTTTGGCCTTGTGTGAGTCTTACAGTCGTGCTGTAAAGRCCTTCAACAAGCTCTCGCTTCCTAATTGTTGTATTGACAACTGTAAATTGATGTAGGAGCAGAAGTGCGACCGATTTAAGTGCTGTTGTGCCTGGCGCWCGGTCTCTCAGCGGCTCACACCCTCCTGCGTTCCAGACCACAAGGCCGATGGAGACCCGGCTCTGATTACTGCCCATCGATTGCTCATTAATAGTGTGAGGCTGCAGTGACTCTTTGGAGCGTGTCCACTGTGGACTATTAAATGAAGGGGAGATAAAGGTAAATATGGTGAAATGAGGCTCGCTGTTAGTTACCCACCTGCCTCCTGTACTGCAGAATCGGCAGGTGATCAAACAAATTTGAGGCAATGGGCTTTGGACCGGATAGAAATGACAAATATGCCACAAAGCAAGCTTTAAGATCCCACATTTGGTTTGTGTTGTCTCACTAAAGGAACATCTGTATTGAACGTTTCTTGAACATAAGTTATTCTTGTAAGAAAACAGTGAATTAAACCAACAAAGCTTAGTTGAGCCWTCTTAAGGATGTTGAGGACGCTGAAAGGAGTCCGAGCAGTACCACAAAACCAGTCCATGTCCAATGGAACTCTGCACGGCTTTAAACTCACTTCCAGTTCTCCTCTTTCATCCGCAGGTTTTTCCAACCTCGAGGGAAGTCTCAGTCCACCAAGACCCCCGTCTCGCAGTGAATCAGTAAGCAGGCACTGCCAAGAGCAGGGCCCCCCTTTCATCCCCCTYGTGTGGATCCCTGAACAGAACTTATCAAGCTCCTCCAAATAACCAAGGGGCAGAGGGGTGCTCCCAGCAAGTTCTGGCTGTTAAACAGTTCACATTTTCCACAGATTCTAGGAAAATTATGACTGAGGAACAGGTTTCAGGAACAGGTTTTGAGCTTTTGTGAACAACTCAGTGGTAATCTATCCATTGCATCTGCATTGCATATGCAACACCTATAAATGGTCTAACAATAAATAAATAAAATAAAATAAAACATCCCAGAAGGATTATATTTAAATCCATGCAGCATTTTATTGTCTTTAGCTTTATTTAAAGTGTAACATCTTTTGGCAAAAAAATACTAAATTCACAAGTTTATACAATTGTGTTAAAGTTTTTTTTGTGTCATTCAGTAGAAAACGAAACCAAATATTAGTTTATTTAGTTTATTTATTTCTTCATCATCAGTGACTTCTTTTTGTTTTGTTTTTTTAAGTGAAGAGAAAATAGAGACAGAGAGAAAAACAGAGAGAGGTAATTAGAAAGATAGAAAGACTGAAATATCGATTAGAAGTATATTAAATATACACCAACAAAACACAGGACCACACACCCAACATCTGTCCGCTCACCTGAAAAATAAATGGATAGATACATGGAGGGCATATATAAATATATACACATACCCATACATATATAAAGATATACATACATACATAAAGATATGTATACATACATATATACATGCCTACATTCATAAATATTGTCAGTATATACACATAGACATATATACACACTCAGTGACCTGTCAGAACCCCCCGGATCAGAGCACCTGTCTGTGAGCAGTTGTGAACATGCGTGTATATACAAGATTTCTCCAATGGAATATTTAATAGTGACTGTGGAGGACCGAGACCCAACCCCCAAGACACGAGGCAGACATAGGGAAGACCAGAGCCCAAGGGCCTGAGAGGRATCCCGAGCGCAGAGCCCCAAGGGGCACCCGCACGGGAAGATCTGCCCACCCACCCCCAGATCAGAYCATAGGGGAGAACTGGGAGAGTCCCCCCAGCGACCACACGCACAGCCCCCGGGGCCAGCAGCGACAAACTCATGGGCCCCACCGGCACCCGCCATACCAGAGCAGATCCAGGAAGGGGCACAGAGGTCCGGGCCCCCAGGGCGCACCCCCTCCAGGCCAAAGCCCGACAGGTCCAGAGGTCCCGAGCCCAAGCAGGTAATGAATTGGCAAAATGTCTTATGAGGCTTCTGTCTTCTAACCTGACCAATGTGAGTCAAGGCAGCAGGAAGGTTAACCCTTTGCTAGGGTTGGGCATAAWCGTATCGTGTGCTATTAATCGTCAGAAAAACATTAATCTATAATTTTTTGGCACTTGACAATTAATACGATTAATGCCACCAGACAGACTGACTGGGGATTACTCCAGTCAGTCCGCTCGGTGCTCTTCTCCACTTCAGATATGACGAACATTAAAAATAAGGTTCTGTCATTTATTTATCTGTCAACACAATTTAAAATATGATATATTGCCTGAAATCTGTAATCTTCATACAATTTGGAACAATTTTTTATAAAGATCAAATCTTTCCCACTAAATTGGTCATGTGACTAGGATATAAGGATGTCCAGGGACTCAAGAGGATTAATCGTCAAATTAATCGTTATCGGCTAAATACTACAATTAATCGTGATTAATTTTTTTGCCAATATTGCCCAACGCTACCCTTTGCAATGTGGCATAACCAACTACAGCGGCACAAATGGACAAACCAAATGATGACCTCAGAGAGAACCTTAACTTAATTTTTTTGCAGGTACTGTGGGCTGATTGGTTGCAGTTTGCAGATTGTGCCACTAGATGTCACATTATCCCATTTACTGCATCTTTAAGGTGGACTAAGATAGGGACAAACACCTTTAGAYAATAAATTATGGTAAAAATACAAAAAAAGCCCAGTACTTTCATGGTATGTAACTGGTATGTAAGAAGCACTCATCTGGTCAAAACCTAGTACTTCCAGTGTAAAAAAACAAGTATGTACCAGGTACTTTCGAAGTAAGAACCAAGAACATACACTTTACTTTCAGGGTAAAAATTGGTTACACACCTAGCACTTTCAAGTTTCACACCTAGCACTTTCTTGGTACATATCTGGATTTGTACCAAGTACATACCTGGTATGGTGAGAGGGGATGGGGCTGGGATCAAACTGCCAAATTTCCCTCTGGGATCAATAAAGTATTTTTGAATTTGAATTGAATTGAAATGAATTAAGAAGTAACTTGTTACCTGTACTTAGCAATTACATACCCAAGTTTGTACCAGGTGTACCAGGTGAGAACCTCGTAAGTACCAGGTACATACCTAGAAACTACCTGGGGAATTTTGTGCCGTGTATTTAAAATGTATTTTTGTACATCAGATGGAAACCATATGTCTTTAGGCCTAAAAGGAGAACTGCCCAGATTTTTAAAACGACATTAATTTGCTTCTTTACTAAAAAAAAAAATAACAGCATACATTTTGAAAATCTAACTTTGTTATATTCTCTCTGTGCCATTTTTAACTGACTTCAGGATTCCAGCATTCAACCCCACACTTTCCTAACTGCGGCTTAATAAACCACCAACCTCTCAGAAATATAAACCGTATTCAGTAAGACCTACTTGAACAAACACTTGTGGTCATTTTGAGGCAGGTAAAACATCTGGTGCTCACCTCATCCAGACAGCGTTCGTACTGCTCCCTCTGGCTCTCATTCTGCGAAGCCAAAGCAGAGTTCTCCTCCTGCGAACACAAGCTCTCTTTAGTTACATATGAGGTGACAAAACAACAAGGATGGAGACAGAAGTTAACAGTCCAGCAGCAGAGAGGAGACTTCCCTGACAAAGGTCATGTGTCAGCTTTGAACTGGGATGCCTAATGGAAAAAAAAAATCACCAAGTGTAACAGGGATAAAGGTCAAGGGGATGGGAGTTATGGTGCTGAACTTTTGTGCWGCGAGAGCTCGGACCTAATAAGAATATCTTCTCCGCTCGCCGAGCGCTGACTGAGGCGGCACTCTATTGATCTCTGGGAGTTTCCAATTTGTCAGCGGCAGGCTGTGCATTAGGAGCTGTCAGCCTCCTCGCTCCGCTCGCCCTCTGCCCTTTAGCAGAAGCTACGGAGATCTTGGTAAAAACATAATTACCACCCCCCCAAAAAAATAAAAAAGCAAAAAAAAAAACAATCCGACGATGCCAGCGTGGGCTGACTAATTGAAGCTTCTGAGACTCGGTGCAAATGTAATGAAAGTAATTAAGGGAAAGTGATGCGTTGTAAGCGTTAGCAGGCTGGGTGTTTAGAAGGTGCTTGTAGGAGGGGAAATCCCCRGACATCCTCACTGCATCTAATATTTGTAACATAAAATAAGGCTAACAGAGGATGAAGATGACCTTTTAAATGTATGTGGATTCAGTCAACACTGCGCCCACACAAGTCGGTTTTTCAGCTTCTAGTAACAGTATTTAGCAATGTTTAAWTTTTTAAGTTATACTTATAGGATCTCACACTAGAATAATAATAGGATAGACTTTATTGTCATTGCACAAGCCTGTAAAGCAAAACTGAACATAGAAAGATGTACAGGACAACAGCAATATATGCATTATAAATACAAAACCAATGACAAAGTAGTTATTGCACTTAGGATGTTTGGTTGGTGTTCAGGGTGTGGGTGGCCCATGGGAAGAAACTGTTTTCTCAGTTTTCTGAGTCTACTTGCACATGTTGGCCTTAATRTGTTAATTCTCTGTTTTACTACAAGTTGTTGAAAACTACGAATTACTTATAAATCTGTATATGTTTATTGAACTTTTCACTTAAGTACATCTTCATTTTGTAACCAATTCAATGCATTTTGAGGATGATGGCGGGTGCCACTTGACTGAATCACAAAGCTATAATGCAGGGCTATTCAACTGGCAACCAAAGTTCGGCCCGCCAATTGGTTCATTCATCTCTTACGCACAAAGCCCCAGTTTTCTACTTTAATTACTCTAAGTTCTTTTAGTTAAACATAGACACATTTGGTGTCAACAGAAATGTGAGAATCTTGGCTAGAAGCTGGTAAAAACATTTCTATGAACACTCAAGACAGTTAAAAGTACAAGCAGTTGAAGATTAAACTATGAAAGTGAAAATAAATTAGGTTTAAAAAATTTGGCAAGTCAGAGATGTCAAAATAATATTGTATTAAATAGGAGACAATATGTTCTTTTTGTTTTTGATAATGTTTAATTATCACTACTTTTACAGGGTTTTTTATGTTGTATTTATGATTAAATGCAGCAAAATAAACTATTTCAGAGCTAACAGATCTTTATAATATTTGGTTTATTTACATAATAACTTTAATTGCTGGTTATTTGGCCCTTCAGCTGTTGACCTGCAGTAACTGTGGCCCCTGGAAAAATTTAGTTGAATAGCCCTGCTATAATGTTGTCACGGCTTGGTGGTGAGGAGAACCCAAAATGCAGGCAGGCAGGCAGGCAGACCAAACTTAAAGTAATWAAAAAGACTTTAATAAAGAAAAAAGCCAACATGGTGGCAAGCTAACAAAACAAAAAAAAATCAAAACTTGGAACATGAGCATGAGGTGAAAACAAACATGGGTAAGCAATGGTCGGACGCTGAAGTGATGAAGAGAAGATCCTTAAATACAAACAGGGCTGAGTGGAAGTAGGAAACAGCTGGATGATTACAAATGAGGACAGGTGAGTGTGGCAGGCTGGAAAAATACTAAGAAGCTGACTGAGGTAAACATGGCACAGGAAACTGAAAACAGGAAATGAGAAAATAAGACAATACCAAACAATTAAAAACAATCTGAAAAATACTACCAAATATAACCAAAACACAAGAATCATAAGAAATGTGTGACAAAGTTAGATTTTGTATTAGTTTCTCTGTTCTGCATGATATATGGGTTGAAACAATCAAATGTGATTTTTTTTTTAAAATTATCTCTGGCGCTATTAGCTCGGGAGCTAACATCATAAATCGCCGTATACATATTAGCACTGGAGCTTATCAAATAATGTCTAATGTTTTAACTAGTCGGAGTTCTCTTTAAAAGTTCGAGATGCTGAATTTTATCAATTTTTATATCCCACTGGACAAACTGGTTTAGTCATCTCTTTAGCTCAGGGTTGCAGTTGTTGTAAGGCAGAACATGAATGTGACATTTAGGGTTGGAAGGAAACATGGCTCCCCTCTCAGCATGAAAGGTGGTGGGCGACGTGCATTCCTTCAAGAGATGCCAGGCCTTTAGTTTTGTCGTCTGTTTTCCCTTCAGCCCCTAGTTTCAGGCCGGGGAGCGTGCCCACCAAGCTAATGAGCAGCACCGGTCCAGCTTCACGAATCCGAGCCGAGCGCGGCTTACTTAGTGTCAGAGGAGTTTATGCACAATACGAGGCAGTGATATATTGCTTCTGCTTTGTTCTTCCTGCKTCCGCCGGCGGCGCATCCATCATCYGCTCAGCTGGGTGGAATAAAAATGGCAGATGAGTTTTGATAAAGCCGTTCAAAACGCTTTAGGAATGGATTACCGGGATCGGCTGACTAAAACTCGCTGCTATACGCTTTACAGATAAACATTTAATTATCTGCAACTTTCCTCTAATTGTGTGAATCAAATGATTGTTCTTTATTTTTACTTTTCTGCACACCTCTTGCAATAAAACTACTTCTGCACACCTTAAGATATTTTAACAGTTCATATATCATCATTAWTAAGATGTTTGACCTGATTTACAAATATTTTCACAACTGTCTCATTACTATGTGTAACTCTGTTCCCAACATTTGTTTTAAAGAGCTGTTCAAAGTATTGAAATTGTTTCTGAATGTCGTATCTTCAGCTGTTATTTAGCTAAATTAGTATTTATTTACTGTTCTGCATCTTTTTGCTATAAATATCTTCTTGCTGACTTTGGCAACCTTTTGCTGCCTCTGCCTTTTTTTTTTTTTTTACCTGTTTAGCTACTTTAGATTTAGCAATTTTTTCCCTACATTTAGCTAATTTTTTGTTGATATTTAGTTAAGTTTTAGCAACTGATCTGCAACCTTTGCTTAGTATTCTGCTTCTTTTAGCTTTGGTTAGTCTTTTGCYACATKCAGCTTTTAGTTAGTTGCTTCTTTTAGCTTTACCAACTCAGCTTCACCGTCTTCAGCAAATTTAGCATTCAAACTGCATTTTCACAAGACATGTAATTTCTTTGATTGTAATCTATTGCCAGTGGTTTTTATTTATTTGTAATTATTTTTGGTAAAATAAAAAAACCCCAGCTGTGCTTCTTTTTGGATGGCCATTCTTATTAAAACAAAGGCAAAGCAACATGGAGCCACTTAGGAAGAAACTGTACGGCTGGAAGTCTAATTTGATTAGGTCTGAGACCTTTAATTGCTGAGRAGATGTTAGGGATGTGTGTCCAGTGGCTTCTGTCAGAACAATCAGCTTGGATCACTTCAGCGGCTCAAGGCGCTCAAATCCCAGAGYGCAGAGATAAACAAACCGAAGCTGGAGTGCCGCCCGTGGCCCCGGCGGCGACTCGCACAGGATGACTTCGCTCTCCAAACACAAAGGACTGCAGGGTTTGATGAGCTGTCATGCTTTCAGACACAACAAGGAGCCAGACAATTGGCAGGCTGCATGGGYAAAAGAACCAATGGGAAGGGGTGGGGGGGGGGACTGAGATGACTACCTCCAAGGTCTTGAGGCGCTCCAGGAGAGGCTTGGTTTTGTCCTCCTTGGTGTCCTGTTGGGGATCYGGCACCTCTTGAGTCGCCGGCCGTTCGAGGCGGCTTTCCTCCTGTAGTTTCTGAACTTCCTCAGAGAGTTTATCCTGACGAAGAGAAAACAAGACGAGGGTTAGAGGGGTTTGGCAGGGTGGGGTTTGGCGAGTCCAAACTGAAGCAGATGGAAGGAGAGGGTTCAAAGTGAAGCTAAACAGTTAAAAACGTGAGGAAGAAGCGACAAAAAGAGAGAGATAGAAAAAAAACAGGGAGAAGATCAGATGGGCAGATGGAGCAACAGCTTCCACAACAAAGCTTCAAAACATCTCCTAATCCCTAATCATGTTTCTCTTGTTTTCTAACGAGCAGCAGTGACCTTCAGGGCTCTTTAGTTTGTATTCTGACAACCCGTTCTTCTCCCTCTTCACCCTCACTGTGGCTTTGCCAGCTGTCTTTCACAGCCTATTCTTTCCTTGTCTTTTAGCTTTCTAGCATCTGTGATCATTAATTACTGGTAGTAATTAGTCACTAATTARGCTCTGAATGACTGGTAAGCACCGAACTGCAGATAGAAATGGGTGTGGGTGCAGTAAGATATCGCTCGTGTTTTATTTTATTTTTTTTTTCAGGTCATCCCTGGAGCCAGAAGTTGCTGATTGATTCCCCCTTACAATATGTAGCTGAAGGAAATAACTGCAGCGTCAGTGTCCTTTCAAACAAATGAATCAAAACAGTTCTAGAACAAGCTGGAGTTAACACTTGTTTAGAATTGATAAACCTGAAAATTTATACTTAACCCTAATTTAATCTGAATTTGTTCAGACTTCAGGGGGCTGCTCATGGAACATGCAATTTGAAGACGCCACCATCGACCACCGTTGGACCCAATGCATTGAATTTTTAACATACGTCTACTTTAAAGTGCCAGTGACATCAAAGTTTTGTAATAAATGTAATTGTATTTTATTTTGGGAAAGATAACATTGATAAAGTATTGCAAAAAAGATTTCACGGTGCTGAGATGAACAGTTGTTGAGATATTTGCATGTGAAGTAACAGGAAGTGATGTCAACGGGGAAYGTCTGCATGTGWATAGAGCTTTGCTRCTATGACCAACAACTCACACTGYAGAGAAGAATCTGATGTTTCTTTAGATTATTTTAATCGTTATCATAGGGAGATGAGAAAGAGTCAGAGTTCAAATAATATTGTTTAAATAAACAAAAACCAGGAAGTTTTCTTTCTCAAAGAGTTCCCCTTTGATGTCACTTCCTGTTTCACTTTAGCTGAACCAAGTTCAGAAGAAAATGTGCCAGTTATGTGACATAACAGGTAAAATCAYGTGTATTATGCCAAGTTTCTTAAATATAAATATATTTTCCTTGATTTTTTTGTATTTCCTGGATATGCATGTCACAGGCACTTTAAGTTAGYATCTGTCTCTGCAAGAGTCTCCAAAAAGGTCTTGAATCATTTGCTTGGTTTCTTGACTTCTTTTCCTATTTTCTTACAATTTTGAKTCTCTAACTAGGATCCAAAAGTCACAACCTACTAAATACTACACGTACACATCATGGACCCCTCATTTTATCTGACATTTGTTAGTAATACTCTAGTTCTTGTCTAAAATATGTCATCTTTCTGCTGAACAACCTATGGCACAGGAGAAAAGACTGTGAAGAAGAGCTCTAAATTATACTTTTGAGTATTTAAGAACTCTTTGCTGGGCAACGAAAATGCAGTTGAAAAGCTTTGTCTTGAAACCAAGAAGTAAGCACAGTGTTGCACTATGGATAAGGAGTACTTTTGTGTATGTCTACGGAAAAACAACCAACCAAAATCAGGTAGCGGCTCTAGCTGATATCAGTCATTGTGGCTGTACAACATTCTTTCCAGCGAGTGAATGTTTAAGAAAATGTCAAATTTCCAAGTCCCTTCATCATCCCTTATATTCACACTTCAAAGACCGCTCTGTGATGATTTTTTTTCTCCCTGTAACTCTTTGTAGGCTTGAATAATTATTATTAACAACAGCCAGGTTGCAGGTGGTCTTAACAGGGTATGGTGAGATTTTCAGGAGTGTATTAAAATGATTTGGGCTCCCTGATACGAGTGCTGGAGCGTGATAATGACTGTTCATGAAGTTGCGGTGGTTTATCATCATGATAGTAGAATATTAGGGTCCAAAGAGGCAGTGTATCCATGACATGAGAATCAGACATGGCTTGGTTGTTGAGAAGTTTAAACTGCACTTTGGCCTCATGTCTAGGCTACGATAATGATCCTGACAGGGTCCTTGAACCTGTCTAGCATAGAAATGATACCTGTGGGTTTAGCATCCTGCTAACTTGGTGTGATCGTCTAGCTACATCCTGACACGATCTGAGAAAGTCATGTCAGAATGTGGTTTAGGGGTGGGGTTGGGGTGAGGGCACAGGAGCTAGGATTGCAAAAAATCAGGGGAATTTTCAAGCTTAAGCTTGGGAACTTTACATGTGAACCAGCAAGAATTAATGGAAGTAAAAAAATAAAAATATTGAACATTTCAGCAAATATTAAATACCACAACAACGAAATACAGAAAATGCAAAAAGTTTTAAAATCTATTGCTCAGAAAAGGTTGTGTGGATGTGACGTTGATGTCTTTAGTAACAACATGATGCACCAATAAGTTATGCCCAAAAATCTACTCTTTTTTGCCTTTGACTAAACAAAATGTTTATATTTATCATTCTTGATATAATGCAGGTTATTTAAAATACCCCCAGTTACCAGTTGATTCCCATCATTTCCCACGAAAAGCTTCCAATTTGGAATATTTCAAAAATACACCAACTTCACTTCCAATGGAAATTTTTTAGRAAGTTTCCTGAAATGACTGGAAAATGTCTGCCCCTTTGCAACTCCAGCAGTAGCACATCTCAACAACATGAAAAATAAAGTAAAATCTATTTAGCAAATACTAAAAGCATAATAACCATGATTACCTTCACAATGAAGGGTTTCTAAATTTGATGCAGTCCAGCCATGTTCYCAAAGGTTGTGGTGAGTACAACTGCATCATCACCGTGAATGAAGGGGGCATTAAATTAAAATTATATTGATTYATCTGAATTCTGCYTTAGTTTTCCACCAAAAGGCAAAATAAAAAGGTACTACTATGTTAGATGCTGCAATATTTTCTAGTGGTATCCACTATACCAGTTAGGGATGGGGCCTATCTGTTCCAGTATTAGCATCGGTTCTGATATCAATATAATTAATGGATCGGAATTTTTCAAACCAASGTTCGGAGATTTCCGATCCATGAACTGTGTCTGTGCTATAACGCTGTCTGCTGAAGTGACTCCTGGTTGGTTKCAAACTGTGGAATGGATTTCCTGAATGGAGGCGAGTCTAAATAAGACAATGAACTGGTTTCATACAAAATAATTAAACTATGGTATAAGACTGGTATTCAAAGTTAAGTGACTTAAACATACTGTATTTTTGTTGTGGTATTGAAGAAATTTATAGTTATTATAGATTAGTACTGATATTAGAAAACAACACTAGAGTATTAGGATTTCCTTTTTATTTTACTTTTATAATGTTTGATCTATTATGTGTTAATTGAAATAGAGTAGCTACATGTCCGAATCATAACAACACATAAGTGAACTGTTTTAACTGAGATCTTTGTATGAATGCCTGTGATTCAGCCGTAGGTCAGTAGGGGGCGAACTCAGGCATTGAAGAATCGTGTATAAAAACATGCACTTCCTGACTTTGAGTCCAGTGTGGTTTCGCTTGTCAGTCCGGTGACAATAAACCTCACTCAGATCCAGAATTCTGGTRTTGTATGGCTTTATTCCTTTTACAAATCAGTTTATTTAACAATTGTGTTTTCATCTTGACTTCAGTCGATATTGAACACGTATTTCTTACAGTACTTAACTCATGTAAAGTCACTTAGAACTCCCAAATTTGTCCATGTATGTGTACGTTTTAGGAGCTGAGAGTTGTTAAATTTGGCTTCATGTTGTGGAGCTTTCATGAWTAACTTGGAGTGTGTTTTTAAAAAGCAAACAGCCTCTGGCTTAGTGAGGTTAATGCATTTCTGCTTTTCATTTCACTCCGTTTATTTGCATTTTTAATGTTTTAAGGCTGTTTTTTTCCTTCTTTTATTCTCAAACATTCRCTAATATTGTAAAGGAACAGATGGGATTCGGTCTAAATGGCAGAAAATTGATTAAGCACAGGTCCCAAATTTAGCAAAGAAGAAAACAATTGTTTCATTCTTAACAATTGAATGTGTGTTGCAGAATGCCTTTAGGCACAAAAAGGGGCCCCTCGAGTCGGGAAAACAAACTAAACTCTAAACTTTTAATTAAAGAATGACAATAACAAAACATTTATCCAGAATGTAATTACGTTTCATCTTTTTATAGGATTGCTTCCTTCCTACTTGGGTTTTTCRGAGACTTTATTTGGTCTGAAACTGGCAAAGTGGCACGTTGTGTCATCTGTCATGGTGCACATCAGGTCAATTCGTCATCCCTTCAACAGATGGCTGTCAAACCCACAGATACCTTTGGTTAATGCGCTGCTGAAAACCAAGATTTGCGGCTCTGATGGATGGCTGCAGCTCCGGTTCTATGTATCCAAATGCAGCCTTGAAGATGCTGCTGCTCCGTCTTAATGGAAATCCTTCACAACACTTTGTTTTTCAGCTTGATTCAATCTCATCCCAACACATATTAGGTTTTCAATCTTGTTCGATTCCATCGGCCAATTGGACTCAAGGTGATACTTTATAGTCRCGGCTTTGTTTTTGTCTTTCGTTCGCCGGGTTCGGCTGTGGAGTCTGARCTTGGTAATAATCTCCCAGAGAAGGGAGTGTGAGGAGGAGGAGGAAGACGAGGGGAGGGAACCCTGTCCCTCGCGCTGCCCTTTCAAGTTATTGAGTTTGTCTGCTGAATACACAGAGCAGAGCTGCGGAGGGAGCRCACCGCTGCTTGGTTAAACAGTGGCTGGGAACAGAATAATCGCCATCTGTGTTTATTCTCTTTGACAGTCCGATCACAGGAGGGAAGTGTGTGTTTACATTCAGTCCATCCTCCACAGCACTGTGGAAATGAGCAGTTTATACCCTTTAACAGTTCAATAAATGAGTTAAATCATCTCCTTWAGCACACATATTGTGATTTCTTAAGGCCATTTCACACTAGATCCGGAGCTGCAAAATCGGCTCTCATTGATGTAGTCRCGTGACGAGAACAGCTTCGCTCACATCCTTCTCGACATGAGGYGGAACTTTTTATTGCAGGAGTTTGTGCAAAGTATTGTGATTGGTCAGAAGTTTGTGGGCGTGTTTATTTATGTTTTCCACATAAAAAAGAAAGAGCACAGACAGCAACGATGTCATTTTGCTTCCACTTACTCCTCTTCTAGAAGCTGGCTGTTATGCGTTCAAACAAGGATAGTTTTGAAAACATGTCCATTTAGATGACTCCTAAGACACTAACAAAGGTAGTCCTGCATCCCAAGTTTGTGGCCGAATGGGGGATGTAGGAATGAAGTGAAGACCTCAGTGGGGAGAAACTTGTGTTGTGACGTGTGCAGCAGCTGGAGAGGTTCCCCAGGAGGAGTTCTGCACCATGTGTCCCGTCATTTATGACAGACGTTTGCGAAAACATCACATAACCGCGAGCAGTCTGTTCAGCTTCTCATGTAGTATAGTGCTCTACAAAGTTTGGAGGTTGTTACGAATATTTTTCAAAATGTTTAATTTCATTTACAAATACCTTTCCCCATAGAAACACGTTAAGATTTCATTTTGCATACCTTATTTGTCTAATACTACTACCACTCCTTTGGTACTTTCTGCTAGGACTGTTGCTACTTTCAGATGGGCCTTAGGCTACCTTCAGCTGTGTCCTCCTCATCCTCTTCTTTGAAAAAGAGATAAAAAAAAAAACCAACATCCACCATCCATAAGATTTCTGTTTACAGGTCAAACATTTTTATTTAAATAGGAGTACACTGTGAACTTATTAAAGTTACAGTTTAGTGTTCTTAGGACTGAAGACTTTCTGAGGAAAGAAGTTTTTAAACATCTTTTCTATAATTTTAGTGTTTTCAACTGAGGAGCTTTGATATATGTATTTAAAATAAATTATAGCAGAGGAAGTTCTCTGCACAGAATATATATATATTTACTGTTTTTTTATCCACAC